CATAGCGGTCAGTCATGCATGATTGTTGTCATATTTTCGCTGAGCATTGTGACATTCAAACAGTTTGCCCAATCTTCTCCCAACTGGGCAATGCAATCCGAAAACAGGCCAATAAAATTAAACCAGGATCTCTTGTTACAATTTAACCAATCATGTAAGAATGGTTTCGGCCAATGAAATTCACACTTCGATATGCCCAAGACACGTGGTTCCTATTGTGGGAGGATATCGCTATCAGAATTTTGAACATATTCTGTGCGTAGGATAAGTATCCTTCAATAATAATATCAACATTTTCGTATTTCTGAAAGAGTTCCATAATGATTTTAATTAATTTATACCCGTTATCACACGTGTTGAATTACCTGTGGTGGTCTATTTCCCATGCTGTTTGCTGAACGTGTGCACTACGAAAAGGTTTTATATTTCCAGAACATCTATAGACCGTCAATGTGTGGGATAATCTAGAAGTTTTCCAGCTATGAAATTGTAGCCCCGCGAGGATTCAGGAAATCAGGAATATTGCAGTGAGTGTCATAGTATTCTCACATATCTCAGGGATTGATTTCGGGAAAAAAATCCATCTCTGAAAAACATTGCGATAATTCTATGATATCGTTTATGGGTTTTTTCTATGAGTTTATAATGTATCATACAACAATGAGTAGAAAACATTTTCCCGATTACCACAACAGTATCAGTGATCGTTGCTGCTTAGCTGAGATACGCATCACGTTATATTAATCAGAATACTGATTGATGGAGATTGGTTGATCTCTTATGCAATCATGGGTAAATAAATGTGAATATTGTGGTTTCATAATAGGAGAACAAATAAAAGAACCAATGGTCAGACTAATTCCATTTGGGGCACGCCTGATGAACCGCAAAAAGGGCAAAGACAGTCGTTTGGTTATGAGAAATTCCCTCGGCTCATTCATTAAAAATAAATATATAATTCTAACAAATTTAAAGCCATTTGCACAAGGTGATGACCGTGGACCGTGTAGCTCAGGAGTAAAGCTGTAAAGTCCCTACCCGAATGTTCGCGGTTTGAGTCCAGGCAGGGACACAAAAGTACCTACTACTGATGAAACCCAGTGCTCTTTTTCCCATCGGATTTGAATAATGATAAATATTTGAATACAATGCTCCATGTGAAACAATGAACCAACAAGTTTAACTCATTGGTCAGGTGTTTACTAATTTGTTGTCGGCATGCCAACTGTTTACAGTTCAGGCGCTCTCGCGCTCCCCAGTATGTTTTCCTTCTTTTGCTTTATCGTTCATGTTCCAGTTATTTTGCAGAAATTTACGCAGCGGTTTAAATATCATTAACCGCCCTAATTAAATCTAGGTAAAAAACTAAGTCTCGAAATTTTCAGATTATCATGCGACTTCTTGTATGAACCTTTCGGTGAGGATTGTCACAGACCTTACGACCCATTTCACATAGAACTGACAAGTTGTCGTCCCCCCCCCTCGACAAGCTTGAACTTCCGACAAATGCCATCTCAGTTAGACGCAGAGGGAACTTCTCTCATGCCCTTTACATCTTGCAAGCTTTCTCTCAACTGAGACAAGGGTCACTAGTGAACTTTGTCTTACTTTGTCTTACTTTTGCAAAACGAAATGTCTCCACTTTATTGGTGAACGAATTTCCCCGTCAATCATGTTTCATAAGATAGCACTCATGTAAATAAATGTTGTTTGCTCAAATGTAAGCTTTACTACATGCAAAATATACACAATAGAATACAACAAAAGGTATCTTGGTTTCGAAAAGCAAAAATTCAGTTGTCTGATGAAGCATATTAAATATAAATGAAATTCATTACGTGACACAAAGAGTTGTATGATAAATGAGTTCAGAGGCCCCCTATTGAGACTGATTCAGGCTCAAAAGCACACAAAATCTCACAAATTAAATGCACAATGTATCGCTATTCTAGAGGATTTTCTTGTAAGCTTGACAGCAAATCTGGACACAGCAATAACTGAATCCTCTGATACTGAATGCACACTGCACTCGTTTATGACAGGATGATCTGCAAACAAGTGAACATCAGAACCTTCTGAAAACGGTACTACTATGCTCCCCAACTTGAATGCTTGCGCGTGCATGTAAGCTGAGAGTGGAGATGGTTTTACCCAAAGCCTCAAACTCATG